CAACTTTCCAAACTGAATCTACCCTTTCCTTCCAAATCCATCCCTCCTTCTTTTAGTCAAAGGTACAAAATCTTCAAATACCCTTCTCCCATTAGCCCAAATCTCTCCCACTCCAAACCTTTCCCCAAACTGCCACCTCTCCCTTAATCTACCAAAACTATCCCTCTCTCCTAATCTCCCAAAACTATCTCCTCTCCCCTAATCTACCAAAACTATCCCTCTCCCCTAATCTACCAAAACTATCCCCTCTCCCCTAATCTACCAAAACTATCCCCTCTCCCCTAATCTACCAAAACTATTCCATCTCTCCTAATCTACCAAAATTATCCCATCTCCCCTAATCTACCAAAACTATCCCATCTCCCCTAATCTACCAAAACTATCCCCTCTCCACTAATCTACCAAAACTATCCCCTCTCCCTTAATCTACCAAAATTATCCCATCTCCCCTAATCTACCAAAACTATCCCATCTCCCCTAATCTACCAAAACTATCCCCTCTCCTTTAATCTACCAAAACTATCCCCTCTCCCTTAATCATCCAAAACTATCCCCTATCCCCTAATCTTCCAAAACTATCCCTCTCCCCTAATCTACCAAAACTACCCCTCTCCCTTAATCATCCAAAACTATCCCTCTCCCGTAATCTACCAAAACTATCCCTCTCCCCTAATCTACCAAAATTATCCCTCTCCCCTTATCTACCAAAACTCTCCCATCTCCCCTAATCTATCAAAACTGTCCCTTCTCCCCTAATCTCCCCGAACCGTCCCCTCTCCCATAATCTACCAAAACTGTCCCCTCTAACCTTATCTCCAAAAACTGTCCCCTCTACCCTAATCTACCAAAACTATCCCCTCTCACTTAATCTACCAAAACTATCCATCTCCCCTAATCTCCCAAACTTATCCACTCTCCCCTAATCTACCAAAACTATCCCTCTCCCCTAATCTACCAAAACTGTCTCCTTTCCCCTAATCTACCAACACTATCCCATCTCCCCTAATCTATCAAAACTGTCCCTTTTCCCCTAATCTTCCTGAACCGTCCCCTCTCCCCCACCCTCCTAAATTTGTCCCCTCTCCCCTACTCTCCCAAAACTGTCCCCTCTAGCCTAATCTCCAAAAACTGTCCCTTCTCCCCTAATCTCCCTAAACCGTCCCCTCTCCCCCACTCTCCCAAAACTGTCCCCTCTAACCTAATCTCCAAAAACTGTCCCCTCTACCCTAATCTACCAAAACTATCCCCTCTCCCCTAATCTACCAAAACTATCCCTCTTCCTTAATCTCCCAAAACTGTCCCCTCTCCCTATCACCTACTCTCTCAAAAATGTCCCCTCTCACCTAATCTCCAAAACAGTCCTCTGTTCCCTACTCTTCCAGAAATATCCCCTCTCCTCCAGTCTCCAAAATCTGTCCCCTCTCCCCTACTTTCCCAAAGTAATCCCCTCTCCGGTTAAGTCTCCCAAAACTGTCCCCTTTCCCTCACTCTCACAGAACTGTCCCCTCCCCTAAATCTTTCTACACCCCCATTTTCTCAGAACTGTCCTCTCCCCTAAAACCTGTGTCTCTGCCCCTGCGTTCTCTCTCCTATCCCAAAACTGTCTCCTCCCTTACCCCTACCCACACTAGCTCCAAAAAACATGTAGTCCCCAACTATACAAAATCTCCACCCTCCCCATCTCCCTATCTCTCCTTCTCTGTACCCAGTCCTCTGTGTACAGCAGTAGAGACTCATCTTCAGGTCATTTACTAGTCATCTCAGCTGCCAACATCATCATCCTCCCCATCCAGCTTCCCTATTATGTCTCCAGGCTATGATGATTTGTATGCGAGACTCCAGAGTCATCACTGTTAGTGTTAGCTATCTATACAGTATCTATCTATACACTATCAACAGGCAGTTCAGGATTATCCTCAACACACTTATTCTTGCATTTCATCAAATTGAATCCAGACAAATTTGTGATGAAATCATTTTAAATGGTAACCACCTGTTTTGAGATACCCTTTCCCTTTGATAATCTACAATCCTTAAGAGTCTGGTAATAACATATTTATAATATATACTAAAGTGTATTAATCTTGAGGAGATATGGAAACTATTACTGCATATATATATACACTGTTAATTACAGACAGGTGATCTTGGCTGAATTGTCAAGTATAAATAAACAGATTGTTGTTTTGTACACTATAGACAGGTAGTCACACTGAACAAGTAATTACAAGTAATACATATTTACTGAAGTGGTCATGGTAGACAGGTTGTCACACTGAATAGGTTAATACCAGTATAACATCTTTACTGAAGTGTTCACGGTAGACAGGTTGTCACACTGAATAGGTTAATACCAGTATAACATCTTTACTGAAGTGTTCATGGTAGACAGGTTGTCACACTGAATAGGTTATTACCAGTATAACATCTTGAATGAAGTGGTCATTGTCGACAGGTTTTCACACTTAACATGTTAATACCAGTATAACATCTTGAATGAAGTGTTTACTGTAGACAGGTTGTCACACTAAACAGGTAAATACAGGTATAACATCTTAACTGAAGTGTTCACTGTAGACAGGTTTTCAAACTTAACAGGTTACTATATGTATAACATCTTTACTGAAGTGGTCACTATAGACATGTTGTCACTCTGAACAGGTAAATACCAGTATATTAAATTTACTGGAGTGGTCATTGTAGACAAATTGTCACTATAAACAGGTTAATACCAGTATAACATCTTTACTTCAGTGGTCATTGTAGACAGGTTGTCACACTGAACAGGTAAATACCAGTATATTAAATTTACTGGAGTGTTCATTGTAGACAGATTGTCACAATATACAGATTAATACCAGTATAACATCTTTACTTCAGTGGTCATTGTAGACAGGTTGTCACACTGAACAGGTAAATATGAGAATATTAAATTTACTGTGGTGGTCATTGTAGACAGGTTGTCACACTGAACAGGTAAATACCAGTATATTAAATTTACTGGGGTGGTCATTGTAGACAGGTTGTCACACTGAACAGGTAAATACAAGTATATAAAATGTACTGGGGTGGTCAATGTAGACAGATTGTCACACTGAACAGGTAAATACCAGTATATAAAATGTACTGGGGTGGTCAATGTAGACAGGTTATTACAGGTTAAAATCAGCACAACACCTTTACTGAAGTGGTCACTTTAGAAAGGTGGTCATTCTACAGAGTTAATTACAGCAGCCAGTAGTTGGTCATTCTACAGAGTTAATTACAGCAGCCAGAAGTTACAATCTTCACAATATATGATAATCCCTTTGGAAATTTGACACAAACCTTCAGCTTTATCTAAATACATGTATATAGATGTATATATCATAATAGCCACTTTCAGGTTCATTTCACAATTATGTAGCTTTCGCTATGGCTTTCAATCTTAAAACATCCTAAAAAGCCAACATGCAAGAAAGACTAGTATACTTTATGATAAATAAAATATCATAGGATAATGTAATTTATAAATTTCAATACAATACCAGCCAGAAGTATTCAAGCTCAAATGACATTCTGAGGCCAAACATAACTAAGTATTTGTTAACTGTACATCTACAAGCTTAGGATCATACATTATGTATCTACTCCAAAGGCTTTTCCAAATCTATAATTTTCAATCACAATCCTAAATAAATAATTTGTATTTTTTATTTCCTTTTTGAGTAATTCTTGCCCTAGACTATTTTGTACCCTCCCTTGTTTCTTTGCCCCGGTGCACAGCAAACACATATTTTCTGAAGCATTTTCTATAGAAATGTCATTATATAGGTACAAGGTCATCTAAAATATGTGAATTTATCAGTGACTGCATTTCTCCGTGGGTAGCCTCGCCCTGAGTAGGTGTAAGGTATGTAGACCTGTGAGTGTGAATATTACTGTCGCCTGCCACAGGGTTACATCATAACAGATAGTATGCACCAGTCACAAACAGGGGAGATAACTCTTGAGTTACTATCACCATATACAGACACATGGTGTCCCATACAAGGAAACCATACCTTTTCATTTTCCCCTATATTGGACGTTGGCCCCTGAATTATTTCAACAACTTATTTTTTAATCATATATTTTGTTTTGTTCAAATTCATATTATGATATTCAAGGAAAAGCTTAAATATTCATATTTTACATTTTGTTAAACAGAGGTTAATGAAACTACTTTTTAGACATCTAACAATTCTGGCACAGAGGTTCTCCACAATGAAAAAAGAACTTGAAATGTTTGCAAATATGAATAATAAGTGGAATATGCAGAAATTGAATTGGCTTTGTCAGTTGTTTGGTAGGCCATATGGTTAGTTGGAAGGTTGGTTGGTTGTTGTTGTTGATGTTAGTTGGTTTGTTGCTCTAGAGGTGGGTGGGGGTTGTTTTCTTGAACTTGATGCCACTACTTCTAAATACAGTTCCCATGCCTAACTTTGTTGTGAGCCTGCTGAACCATTCGTTGATACCCTTGTCCTGTAGTGAATCATAATACAGTATCTTGGTTGTGCAATTTTCTTTACGTCTTGTTGGTACGCTTGATATGGGTTGTGTTATAAATACAGTTTCAGAACCTTCCTTTGTTGTGCAGCTTTCTGAACAGTTTGACGGTACCCTTGTCTGTGTTGTGTTATATTGACATGGTATGAATACCTACCTTCGCTGTGCACCTTTCTGAACAGTTTGATGGTACCCTTGTCTGTGTTGTGTTATATTGACATGGTATGAATACCTACCTTTGTTGTGCAGCTTTCTGAACAGTTTGACGGTACCCTTGTCTGTGTTGTGTTATATTGACATTGTATGAATACCTACCTTCGTTGTGCAGCTTTCTGAACAGTTTGGCGGTACCCTTGGCTGTGTTGTGTTATATTGACATGGTATGAATACCTACCTTTGTTGTGTAGCTTTCTGAACAGTTTGACGGTACCCTTGTCTGTGTTGTGTTATATTGACATGGTATGAATACCTACCTTCGTTGTGCAGCTTTCTGAAAAGTTTGTTGGTACCCTTGGCCCTTGTTGGCGTGTTTTTCAATAGTTTTTCCACCTCCTTGTCCTTTTGTTTATACCGGCCTATCCTGGCTGCAAATACACAAAAGGCAAATAGTCATTATTTCACTACCTATATCTTCATTCTCTCTTAAACACTACTACTAAACTTCTGAACGAAACTTCTGCCGCAAAAAACAAACAGGTTTTCATCTTTTGAAGAATTTCGGTAGCATCATCAGATATTTTATGACAGAGTTTGACTGTGTTTGAACTTTTTTTCAACTTTGGAACAATTTTGTTTAATTGGATCATATTTATCTTTTTCTAAATGTTTGAGAATGGCTTATTTTACTGCAATCACTCACAAAAACATTGACTGTACAAAAAAGATTATCAATTACTATTCCAATATTTCGTTCCTGACCTTACAACCTTTCCATACATATAAAAAAGTTGTAAAGTTTCAAAGAGTTTGCTTTTGCTGAAATTTACTACCATTTAAAAATGTTGTCGGTGTGAAAATGTGTCGAATTTAACACATTTACATCAAAATCACACATTTGACCTATCTAGTCAAGCATGCATGCCCTTCCCATGTGGGGAACCTGCAGCATACCGCAGAAAAGGGCTGACTTCTAAATGTGCAGCAGAAAAAACACACCCCAGTGAAGAAAAGAATGCAAGATTTTTGCAACTGGATTTAATCCATAAAGATAAGACAAATGGTAAGATTTTTTTTTACATGTGTTGCAGCCACAAGTAATTAGAATCACACAAAAGCTTTACAGTGAAGCAGAGCAGAGAAGCAAGTCAAGATTGTCAAAAACCCTGATGCATCTCACCCTTTTTTTTCTTCATCCTACAGAAAAATTTGTTCCAGTTGCCTCCATGTTTTTGTTTATGCACGACAGACAGAGGACATGTTATCAGAGCCGCAAACCACAAGAACTAGATTTTCGATTGAAGTCAAGCTGATAAACGCTTTACCTCTTTTGAGCAATACTAATTCAGGAACGATGGAAAACCAGTCAAAAAAAACACCTGCATTTTTCAAATGTCTCTGTCTTTTTTTATTCAATTTTCAAACGATGTTCACAAAAGCAAAGGACAGAACTTTTTGCCAGTTTAGATGGATTCTTAAATATCAGTAATTCTTTAGTCAACAGAATTTGATTTGAATTTTCTGGAAGAAATAATGGAAAAGAAGTTTTCATAGGTTAAATGTGCTTTTTCCAGCTATTCTTCAAACCATCAATAAAATATTAAAGCATATTGAAAGTGTCAGTCTCCTCATCCTGCCAGTCAAATAAAATATCTCAATCTAATAACAACAAAAGTCACCGAAATAAGCTTGGCATCCTCCGCCAAACATCTAGTATCCTTTCAACAACAACTTTACTGTTGACATTTCATTTTTCTACAAGTTCAATTTAGATTAAAAATTTAAAACCAAAGAAATAGGGGAGACCAAAACCTAGCATTTTGTATTAACATGTTCAACAACGGCATTTTCACAAGATTATTAAAGTTTGTTTAAAATAGATTTATCTTATTGACCTATCAGGGATTGGTCTTCAAGGACGCATTCCACCACTATATAACACCACTTCCTTTTTAAAACTTCCACATCTTAGCTATATATAGATGGCACAAACTCCTGTAGGGCCATGCAATTGAGCCTGTGTAAAATACTTTCCCATCCTGTAGATATTGCAGATAGGGAAGCATTATAACCCTAAGTTCCTAAACAAAACCCCTTTTGAATCTTATGCAGAGGTAATAAGTGAAAGAGCTGAATTCTCTCCTATACTGCCACCATTTCTTGAACAGAAGAGTGGGGGATGGTGGGAGTGAAGAGTAGGGGGGATGTTAAGGCGCAAGGGGGGGGGGGGGGGTCTTAAAGTGGGAGGAAACCAGAGTACCTGGAGAAACCCATGTCAGAACAGAAAATTGAACTACGACCGCCATGGTGAGAGGCAAGTGCACTATCCACTGCGCCACCTAACCACATCTAATTACTTTGTTTATTATATTGTTTACTAATGTTCGCTGTAATGATGAATTCGCCTCCATAATGGATGGTGAAAAAGGTGACAAATAAACTAATGCAAAATATTCCCGGTACCCAGTATATGTAATTAAAGGGGTATATTATAGGTATAACAGTATACATTATATATATTAATTAAGGGGGTATATTATAGGTATGACGGTATTAAGTGTATATAATTAAGGGGGTATATTATAGGTATAACGGTATTAAGTGTATATAATTAAAGGGGTATATTATAGGTATAACAGTATACAGTATATATATCAATTAAGAGGGTATATTATAGGTATAACGGTATTAAGTGTATATAATTAAAGGGGTATATTATAGGTATAACAGTATACAGTATATATATATCAATTAAGGGGGTATATTATAGGTATAACGGTATACAGTATATATATTAATTAAGGGTGCATATTATAGGTATAACGGTATTAAGTGTATATAATTAAAGGGGTATATTATAGGTATAACAGTATACAGTATATATATATAATTAAAGAGGTATATTATAGGTGTAACGGTATACAGTATATATATTAATTAAGGCGGTATATTATAGGTATAACGGTATTAAGTGTATATAATTAAAGGGGTATATTATAGGTATAACGGTTTACAGTATATATATTAATTAAGGGGGTATATTATAGGTATAACGGTATTAAGTGTATTTAATTAAAGGGGTATATTATAGGTATAACAGTATACAGTATATATATATTAATTAAGGCGGTATATTATAGGTATAACAGTATACAGTATATATATTAATTAAGGCGGTATATTATAGGTGTAACTCTCCCTAAATCCTCTATAGGATCAGAAAAGGCTAAAAGAGGGTGGGTCTGTGATAAAGATCTTGCTAAACAGACAGTTTCCCACCAGTATAGTGCAAGATTCTATCACACCAGTGTTAATGCATAAACATCTTCACCCCCAAGACTATGCAAATTTCCTTATCATATATTTCTGATAAAACTAACTTCCATATCACATGAATGGGAAAAATTAGGATTTGAATTAAGTACACATCAAAGAACATCACAACATCAATTTATTTTATGATATTCAGATTTTTTTTCTTTAAATTAAACAAGTTTGAAAATGTTTTTTCGCAAACGAAAGCTAACCATGCTATAATCTTTACATATTTTCCACATCTCACTCTGGACAAACATCTTCAGCAGTGCATGCTAGATCAACTGATAATCTGCCTAATCTTCTGCCAGCCCCATTATCCTTAATCTTCCCTCTGCCCTACATAGGGATCCCCAGTCCTCTGGTATGACTTGAAGATTATCCATGCTCCCCCCATTCAAACTTCCTATAAGAAGGATATCAATATTTACCATTATACTGTAACAGTTCGTGTAAAAAGGATTTTCATACAGAAACACATGTCTGCCTATGTGTCCCCCATTTACAAATCGACACAAGATATGAAATGGGATGTTTGCATTTTTAAACAAGTTCCATGTAAAAGGGATTTTAGATGTTATCCATCTCCATGTTATCTATTATGATTTTAGATAGAACTCCACGTTATCTATTCTGATTTTCCTACTTTAGATGGAATTTCTAAGGATATTGACATTTCCAGTTTGTATGATTTCCGTGTAAAAAGGATTTCCTCACAGGAATCGACATCACTTATAAGGTAAACGGTTTATCTCTATATATAAGGGGGGTTGTAAAATGTCCTATCATGAATTACATCAGAACTTAAATTGGATATGAACATCCATTTAGAGCTTACAATAGAATCTGTTTGTCAATTAACCTGAAAAATGTTTTTATTTGAAATCCTTTAATACTTCAGAATGATGACAAAATGAAGAAAAGCATTGACAGGCTGGATTCAGCCTAGCACAGAGACCAGACCATCTTACCTGTGATATAAGGTAAGTCCACAAATTTTCATGTTTAAAAACAATAAGAAATGTACATGTCTTCACCAAATCCTGTGTAACAAGGACATTATCAACTAGTAAATTGAAAATGTGTACTCCAAACATAACTATATGATTTCCTATGAAAAAAATATATGGTCCATTTATTTTTATTTTATTTTTTTGG